TCTTTCCTGGATGAACCCAGCACACCATCCGTCACACTGCCGCTCCTGCCGTAGGATGGCTTTGGGACTTGGTGTGTCAGTAACCTTGGCTAAGTGGGTTTGAAAGGATGCGAGAACGAGAGGCTTAAATTTCGTTGCCAAAAGCTCAGGTGTAGAGCGGTTACCTTCTGATTAACAACGTGATTCTTACGTTCTGATGTGAATTTCAGAGGTTCCAGTGTAATTGGGCAGTAGTTGCTTTTGAAGTTGTGGCATTCGTGTTAACGTACGAAATGCCAGTTTTCTGACCACTTGGGAGATGCAGAGTTCTCAGTTTTTAAGCTGCCTTAAATCAACAGCTAATTTTTCATCTGGGAATTGAGGAAAGACCCCACAGGTAACTGATGGAGCCGGTAACTCGGCCTCGTTACAGGATGGATTTCTCGCTATTGCGGTGGCAGGATTTGAATCCCTCTGGTGCCGGCATTCGGTGACATCCTGTGCTGGGCTGTTTCCTTTCCCGTGACAGAGGGTGGTTCGTTGGCTCATGTGCATGGCCTTGCCAAGTCTGAGACTCCTAAAAAAGAATGTCTTCCCTGCAGGCCAGCCTGTTACACGAAAGCAGAAATATCAAGACTCTCTGCATCCCAAATTCGGAATCTTAATCCTGTGTTTGGGGGATCGGGACCAGCTCTCACGGGACTTCGGAATCTAGGGAACACTTGCTATATGAATTCCATATTACAGTGTCTGTGCAATGCACCGCACCTGGCGGATTACTTCAACAGAAACTTTCAAGATGATATCAACAGGTAAAAACCTCTTCTCAGCGTTTAATTTAGAATTGAAGGGGAAAAAAAGTCTGCCTTGACAATTGTTCATTAAAAAACCCCAATCACTTGGTGGTTTTTAAGTATAGGCAGGTGCTGACCTGTGAGAGTCTTGATGTTTTCAAGATCTGTGTCACACAGAAACAGACAAAGTAGGTTTTACTGGACAGTCATAACTTAGGTTGTGCTTTCCACGCTCATAAACGTGGGTGGGTTTAGGAGACTCCACTGCCAACAGAACAGTTAAAAGCAGTTTACAGAACAAGCTGGAAACAGCCGTGCCACCCACCAGCCCAGTCTTGAACAGGGAACCAAATTACAGTGCCAAAGCAGACAAGAATCTTAACTCTAACAGCCAGTTTTTCTAATTATAAAGAGATTATAATTTCTAATAAATTATTTGGAAATTGGGATAACAACTTGAATTAATAACAGTAATATTAAAAGTTGTTTGAAGGGCTCACTGCATTGTGGGGTTTTTTTTCTGTTGAATTGTATAGGTCAAACTTCCTGGGGCACAAAGGCGAAGTGGCTGAAGAGTTTGGTGTAATAATGAAAGCTTTATGGACGGGACAGTATAAATGCATCAGTCCAAAAGACTTTAAAATTACAATCGGGAAGATTAACGACCAGTTTGCAGGATATAGCCAACAGGACTCCCAAGAATTGCTTCTCTTTCTGATGGATGGCTTGCATGAAGACCTAAACAAAGTAAGCAGTACACTGGTAACATGTTACACATCTGCCAGGTGATCACGAGAAATAAACTCCTTTATTTCATAAGAAGACTGTGTGTCTGGAACCTTGGATAGGAGGAAATGCCAGTATTCAGAATGAAAGTAGGAATTTAATTTACTGAGGGGAGTCATGGAAGAGGCCTAACGAGATAAGGAATGGATGGCAACGCTGACATGTTTAAATATTCTGGCAAACGTTCAATAGTGTGCTTGCCTCTTCCTGCTTTTGCATCTGTTAATATGTGGCTAAGGTATTTAAACTTCTGTTTCCCAGGCTGACAACAGGAAAAGATACAAGGAAGAAAACAACGATCACCTTGACGACTTCAAAGCAGCGGAAGTGGCCTGGCGCAAACACAAACAGCTCAACGAGTCCATCATCGTGGCGCTCTTCCAAGGCCAGTTCAAATCTACAGTGCAGTGTCTTACGTGTCACAAGAAGTCCCGAACCTTCGAGGCGTTCATGTATTTGTCGTTACCGCTGGCGTCCACCAGTAAATGCACGCTGCAGGTAGGGTGCAACCAGGGAGAAACGGTTCCTGAAGGCAAAACCTTGCTCTGGGGCTTGGTTACGGTGTTGCATCTGCTCAGCCCCTTGCTGAAGGGATTGGGCAGTGTTCCAGCTTCATTTACACTAATCTGAATGTTGAACAGATCTGAGTCTTCGTTATTTTTTCATTCTTGTAAAGTTTAAAAGAGTAAGTCGTTGCTGAAACACTTTAAACTAGAAGCAGGATGGAAATACTGAAGCTGCTGTAGCAGAGAAGACGTATAATACCTGCTTTTGTAGGTCGTAGTATAAATATTCTGTGTTTTTAAAGAAAATCCTATGTTTTGAAGCACTTGGACTCGTTAATACATACCGTAAAATGTGCTTTCGCACGTGGGTTTGACTCGCTTCTCCTCGTTTTGGTGAAACACAGCACACAGATAATTGACGCAGCGTAACGACCACATAGGAAACAAACTGCTGCTGCTTTTGTGAACACCCGCCCTTCACAGTCTGTGCTTGTGTTTCCTTTTAGGAATGCCTTAGATTGTTCTCCAAAGAGGAAAAGCTCACTGATAACAACAGGTTTTACTGTAGCCATTGTAAAACTCGGAGGGATTCTTTGAAAAAAATAGAAATTTGGAAGTTACCGCCTGTTCTTCTTGTGCACTTGAAACGGTAAGAGAAGGGGTGATGGGTGACAGTGAGTTAGGGTGAAGTGACCAGGCTTTGCTGGAGGTTGATTGCTCCAGTGCAACAGCTAATTGTCTCTAATTAGAGAAAGTTCTGCATGTCTGGGCCCGGCTGGATGAGGCTTGGAGCAACCTGGTCTAGTGGAAGGTGTCCCTGCCCATGGCAGGGGGGTTGGAACTGGATGGGCTTTAAGGTCCCTTCCAACCCAAACCAGTCTGTGTCTTTTCCGGGTGTAGCGCTGCAAGAATTTCATTTTCACCTGACGCCTCTTCATTAGGCTGTAGTTCACGAAGCACGTTCTCAAGTCATCTCTCTCCATCTGTGCTGAGAAGCACACGTGCAAGCGTTAACAAAACCGTGGGCCCAAGGCTTTAGTTGAGGACATGTACCAGAAAACACACACGTGTAATATTCTTAAATAGCTTGTGAACAACCTGTGACTTTTCACTATGCTTTTGAATCCTCTAGATTTTCCTACGATGGAAGATGGAAGCAAAAGCTTCAAACTTCAGTAGATTTCCCATTGGAAACTCTTGACCTTTCACAGTATGTTATTGGTCCAAAGAATAACGTGAAGAGATACAACCTGTTCTCGGTGTCGGTGAGTAACCGCGTCCCGTTTCAAAGCTGAGCTGCTCTTGACACCGAGGCTCGGCCTGTGTGATTCCTCGAGGTTTGCAGGCTGCCTGCCTCCGTGCAGATTGAGTTAATGACACAGAGAAAATCTCACACCCTGCTTTATTTCCCTAAATAAACGGCAGCTTTCCAGGCTGTCGGTTCATTGCTGCTCTCCTTTACAGAACCATTATGGCGGGCTGGACGGAGGGCACTACACAGCCTACTGCAAAAACGCCGTAAAACAACGCTGGTTCAAGTTCGATGACCACGAAGTGTCCGAGATCTCGGCGTCATCTGTGAAATCCTCGGCTGCCTACATTCTCTTTTACACCTCCTATGAACAGCGCGCGGTGGATATGGCCACGTAAAGTAGCGCGGGGTCGAGACAACTGGTGTTCTTTCGGGAAGAGGTATGGGAACGCGTACAGATGCGTGGAATGCCGGCGGACATAGGTACGGGGCTGGTTCGCAGCAGCTTTTCGGCAGGCAAGCTCTTTCTGGTCAGTACTAGTGCTTAAAAATCAGAGGGCTGATTAGTAATGCTTGTGGTGATACTGCCATCCGTGAAACCGTTTAAAAAGCATACGTGCATTACCGTTTATTTAAAAAACCAACTCTATTTTTAGTCTGCTCCAAAATTAAATTCTAGCTTAGTCATCTGAAATCTATTAACAGGTAGTTTGAAATGTCTTAAAATCCCAAG